CCCCAAAACCCCAAAACCCCAAAACCCCAAAACCCCAAAACCCCTTTCATTTTTACTTATATTGAAAATTACTATCAAATGATACTAAAAAATTAAGAAAATGGAGTCATCAGGGAAAATCCCAAATATACCCCCAAGAACATCTCGAAACATGGGTATGAAATACAATGCTTCATCGTCTACGATCCCTCGTCCTCTCTCAAAAACAAACAGTAAGCACCCTTAATTCTTCAAATCCGAGCTAAAGCTAAGCCATAATCTAGGTCAATTTCAGATAGAGCACTTGAACCAACTCTTCTCAAAACTAGTGCCTACTGTGGAAAAGAGGAGATCCAAGGAGAGGAAGCTGATCCTGAAATACGACAAATTATACACAAAGATGAAGCTTAGAGAAGATTTCATGTTTAAATAAACTCTCAAACGATATCGACAAGGTAGTTAATAGTCAAAAAGAGAAGCATATATTCTTGAAATAACAACATACCCTTCACTACAGTGCTTGTGAAGGATCTAAAGCACTTTGTTAACATCAAAGTTCATGAGCATCTCTCTCCTTTAAGACTGTTTATTAAAAATAAGACAGAAAAAACTAGTTTTAAACTATACTTTTCTCGAAGTATCCCCAAGCCATGTTTGAACGATTGTGAGAAATCGTTCACGAATCCCTCTAAAATTACAATAAAATCTCCAAACGATGAGCTAATTTTCTCTTGTACGCACTTGTACTTCACCATAATCCCCTCAGATAAGCTAAAAATGACGCTAGGGTATTGCTTCAACAGCCAATTACCAGCCCGAGAGCTATTGCCTGAATACAAGGTTTCCTACCTCCCTAGCGCTTCTCTCAAGAGCTGTAGGACGACTCTGGAAGCGATGCAGTACAAGTTCCTTAGCCCTGATAAGATAGTGCAGCGGAGGAGGAACCAAATCATAAACACACAGTATATTAAATAAGCAGCTAGATGCACTGGTAAACCCTTAAACTCACATTTTAGTTCGAAAGTGATAAACAAGTACAGAAGGTACAGAGGTATATGAACAGGATCAGGAAGAAATATCAGTATAAAAGAGGTAGCCTAGGCGGTATGTCTTAGAGTCTTAAAGTTCAGAAAGTAATAGTATTGGGAAGAGGGGCTTGGGTAGACAGGTCAAGAATTGTAGGATCAAGTCTTTAGAAGGGAGACTGCAGAAAAGTACAGGTTCGAAGGCATTTAGGTCATTTACAGGGGTTATAAGAAATAAAAAGGGACGTAAAGATAGTCCATAGTGCAGCAGTTGGGTCAATCCATTCATTAAAGTTATAACAAATTACTGTTGAATTTAATGTTACAAATCTTCTGTAATCTGTAAAGAAATCGTATATTCACTTTTAGGGAATAAACTATTTGGAATTACTAACGGAATAAACCCTGAAAGAAATTTATTACTCAGAATTATACAATTTTATCAAACTCAACATAAAAATAGTTAAAATTTAGTATTTTCAATAGTAAAAATTATTTTAGGGGTTTTGGGGTTTTGGGGTTTTGGGGTTTTGGGG